CTGTATTTTCCTGACCCAAACTGAGAAATCATCTTCAGTCAGGTCAGATGTGGCCTAGAGAAATCTAGCTGTGCTCCATCAGGTCTTTTTCTTTCAACGAGAGTCTGATTGGTCTTTCATAAACTTCACTTTCTGAAAAATGAACCTTCCCTCTCTGGTGAGTTATCCAAGGTCACACTGAATCAAACAGCAAAGCCAGAAATAAAATTCAGATCAGCTGGCTCCCAAGTTGAAGCTTGATCTTCTTATAGGAATAAAGTGGAGGAAATGAGCTTGCACACTGATTATCTGAGACTATTCATCAAATGTGGGCTTATAATGCCTACAGCTTCCACATGTTATCTAGGAGACATTAAAGCGTAATGAGCCCTGCAGGAAAAGGCATTTTTTAAAAGGAACAGGAAAACACAAGTGCAGTCTGGATGTATACTCAATATTGCAAAGATGATTTAATTCAATTCTGGATAGTGACTCTCCTTAAGCTGTTTTACAATCATGAAGTCAGCATAAGCCACAGAATCAGAATCAGCTTACCGTATAACCTCTTGGTGGAGGCTCCAGCAATGCTAAGAAGCTGCAGAAAACACAAATGTCTTTGGCATAAAACCTATGTTCCAATCTTATGAAAAGCCACTTAAAAATGAGTAAGACAGTGCTAAATTCTTAGATACACAGCCACACAGTAAGAGAATTCAAATAGCCAAATTCTTGGCCTGCAGTGCTGAAAAATGAAAGCCAAGCAATTAAAGCTGAGAAACTGGATTACATAATCTTACAGCAGGAGACTCAGATCAGTTATAAAGAATTTACTGTTTGGGTTGAGAAGTAACTGAGACATCCTTTTACCTGGGATGGATCAAGCAGAGCTCAATATAGGAAGGAGGCAGGAGGAAAGAGAGGCTACATGAGTTCCCAAACCACCTTCTATCCTAGTTTCTGAAAACATGAGAAGTAAGCTACAACTGCTTAAAAGTGAAGATTAAAAGATGAACTTTCAACTTCTGTCCTGGTTATTTTAGGGCTCATCTATCTCTGCATACGTTACTCACACTTATCAAGCAGCCCCCACATAATTATGTATTTCATGGTTTTTTGAAACGTTCATTTCTTCCATCTGTGTTGCCCCAAGTAACATCATGAAATAATTAAGAAAGTGTGGCAGACTATCTGGTATCACCTTTTATCCCTTGCACTGAATACAGTATACAGTACAAGGGATAAAAATAACTAAAATCACTGCGAATTTCTCATCAAAACGAATCTTTGACAAGGCTTTTGTTTTTCCTTTCCTATTTTTTCATTACCTTTTATCTGTTTTGCAAGTACATAATGTATAGTTTCATCTAGAAATTAACTGTCTCTTTGTTTTAAGTGAAGAAAATATCCTCAAATAAACAAATAATCCTTAAGGAGAGTGCAAAATCTGGAGGCCATACAACTGGTATCGCCGTAGGATTGTTCCTTGTGTTATTCCTAGCAATTTGGGAGGTAATCGCAAACACCCGAATGGCTAGGGAACAGAATTTGTAAAGATGAAGCACTTTTAGATTAACTATCAAAGCTCAATTGAATTTTTATCACAGTGAGTCAGTCACATTGCCCCTCATTTCTCTCAGCTCTAACATGAGAATAGCCTTTGATACCATCCTTTCTTGCCAAAGGGTGAATGAAATGTTTGACTCACTTCAGCAGGAATGATGGTAGACACAGTGCAAGTGGCTGGAGGTTAGATGGGCTGTAGGAAGTATACTCCTCAGGTGAAGGTAGAGCTGCTCCTCTAAGCCAAGGGAGCACACCAAGAATAGAAGACGCTGCAGGCGCCAGCTCTTGGCCTGTTTGGGGATTTTTTTTATAATAGCACACAGTAAATGGTTTTTCCCATAGGTTATTTGATTAGCTATTGCTCATGATGATTCAAACTAAGATTCCCCCATCTGCAAGTGGGGTACATATGAGTTACAGGCAACAAACTCGAGTCCACCAAGATTGAGCTGAAAACTTAGGTTTAAATAATAGAAGGTGGAGATGAGATACATAAATCACAGAAACAAATATATGATATACACAGACAACAAAGAACTGCTAATGGAGAGCTTTAATCATCACATGTAAAAACAATACATTCAAATATCAAAATTGGCTCCAAATTCTTTATCATGATCAACATCAACAGTCTAGAAATGAAAAGACACACTAATATAAAACTTTCCTGTTTATAACTAAAAGATTTATGAAACTATTTTTTATAAACACATTTTTTTACCCTGAGGCTGATATCACCAAAGTGAAAAAGAAAAGTCATTGTCAGCTGGAATGTATTCAATACAGAGTTTCAAAAACCATTTATCATTATTCTAGAGTGATTTCTATTCATTCTCCCCACCCACACTATGTGATGATAACAGAAGAAGATGGCAAATGGTTGTGTCCAGTCTTATTATATACTTACTGGTCATCTAATTCTCAAATGTACTGATCATATAATTCTCAATTCAATCTACTTACCAAAACAAAGAAATAAAATTTTAACATCCATTAATTCTATACTATCATATTTTAAAATATGTATCAAAATCAGTTCTGTCTTATAAAAGAGGGGTTGGCAGTACATTCTCAGACCAAACAACAACAAAAACAAAAACAAAAAAATCACAGTACTTTCTTACAATGGCTACTGCAGTGCCTTCTACATATTTCACATAAACCAACTAGGTAAGTTCAGAGTTCACATTGATTGCCTCACAAATACTGATCTGCAAATGTTTAAGAGAAAAATAACTCCCAAATGCTGCAGCAGTTATTCCATACAAGTGCTGAGACAGGTATGCATATTAAACTTGAAAAAAGATAGCCACGTTGAAGGGAAAACTATTTTAATATGTTTTTTTTGGTATATAAATAACAAATAAATAGAAAAAAAGTTTTTCAAAACCTGAATTCCTAATGTCTCTAACATTAATTTTTGTGAACAGGTTTAGAGCCATGGTGTGCTACCTCTCACAAGGCAGCCTAGTGACTTTGCCTCCAATTATTTTCATGATAATCTCTAGATGCTTTTTAGAGTGCTTTTTCTAAATATTTTCAGCACTTCATCTAAACCAGCAGTTAGACTGCATACCTGAGTCAGGAAATCTTTGTTACCACTTTGTTTCAAAGTATTCTACATGCAATTTCCTGGGTACTACTTATCTCCCACTGCACAATGACACAAATGCTGGCCGATAATGGAAATCTGGGGGATGATGGCACTTGAAGAATTACTATCCCTAATCTAATTCTATACTCTTTACTTTTATTATTTGTAGATGCCTTTCTAATTCAAATGATTTAAGTGAACAATATAAGCATAAGACACTGGCATTTTTTAAGAAGTTAAATTGTATTCACTAACTCTCAGCCAAAATTGGGCAAGGATAATAGAAAATTCAGTATTAGAAAGAGTTAGGGAAAAGCTTTCTGAAAAAGCCTTGGTACATGTGCTCTCTTTTAAAGGTAGAATCACAGAGAATCAGGCCTGGCGCAGTGGCTTATGCCTGTAATCCCAGCACTTTGGGAAGCTGAGGTGGGTGGACCACCTGAGGTCAGGAGTTCAGGATCAGCCTGGCCAACAGGACAAAACTCTGTCTCTACTAAAAACACAAAAATCAGCTGGGCATGGTGGTGTGCACCTGTAGTCCCAGCTATTGGGAAAGCTGAGGCAGGAGAATTGGCAGAACCCAGGAGATGGAGGTTACAGTGAGCTGAGATCGTGCCACTGCACAGAGCAAGACTTTGCCCAAAAAAGGGAGGGAAGAAAGGGAAGGAAGGAAAAAAGGGAGGGAAGAAAGAGAAGGAAGGAAGAAAGGGAAGGAAGGAAGAAAGAGAAGGAAGAAAGGGAGGGAAGAAGGAAGGAAGGAAGGAAGGAAGGAAGAGAAGGAAGAAAGGGAGGGAAGAAGGAAGGAAGGAAGGAGGGAGGGAGGGAGGGAAGGAAGGAAGGAGGGAGGGAAGGAGGGAAGGAGGGAAGGAGGGAAGGAGGGAAGGAAGGGGAAGGGAAGGAGGGAGGGAGGGAGGGAGAGAAAGAAAGAGAGAGAAAGAAAAGAAAGAGAAAGAAGGACGAAAGAAAGAAAGAAAGAGAAAGAAAGAAAAGAAAGGAAAGAAAGGTGAAAGATTCTTACCCATCACATGGGCAATTTCCCATCTGGTGCTTGAACTCCTATACAACGTGCCTGCCAAGTTGCTGTCTCGCCTCTGCTAGAATACCTTTAGGGGAAGGAAGGTGTTCCAACACTTCTCATCTTCCTTACAATGGAACAGCAAAACAGATGGAACAGGTAAACAAATTTCCACTAAACATGATTAAAAATTATACTTAACTTTTCAAGAGAGTAGGTTGTCAAAAGCTACTTAAAAGGATAAACCAGATTTGTCTCAAGCATCCTATGCTTTCTATAATGTTTCAAAATGGAGAGACACAAATTTGAAATATGCATTTTAGAAATAATTGTTGAATAGCTGTGTGCATTGCAGGGGAAAAGGTAAAAAAAAAATCTTTGAAGTGATCATTGTTGGGACTCTAAAACAAAAGGAAAATTAATGTTTGAATAATAATTTGAAGTTTCACTTTGAAGATGCAATAAATACCTTGTGCAGCAAGTGGTGGTGCAAGAATCCAAGAGCCCTGGTGGATGAAGTGTAGGCTAATGATATTTTGCAGCAATTATCAATCCAGATGTAGGAGACAGAGAATGACAGGAGCAAGTCTGAGGCTGCAGCCTGCTATCCTAAGGCAACTGGAAACCAGGACACTCTACCTTGATTTCCCCCTTCCGTCTTATTTGACAGCACTGCAAATAATTGTCGTTTCTGATTTCTCTCCAGGTACTCAGACTGTTTCAGAGTTTAAATCCCCCCTTCAGAAGACCAACAAAGCAATATATGAATTGGTGGATGATACTACTACCTGAATTCAATTTACAAAGGATCAATTCCTCTAAATGGACAACTTTATGTCTGTATTTCTATTTTTTCAACATTTATACGAATAAGTCTATTTGAACTAGTCATTTATAACACACATGTAAACTTTAAAGTTCTGAATGAGCACATTAGTTGAGACTCATCTGATTCCATTTTGAATGGTATCTTTCACCCCTATGTGTTAAAATGACAATGATATCAATTTTTAACAAACAAGACTATAAGAAACAGGCAAAAACCAACCTTAAGTATTGTCTTTTTATGTGGAGGCCACATTTTTTTCATATCTGTTTCATATCAGATAATTAACATTTAGTGGCTAGATGACTGGAGAGCAAATCTTCCTGCAAAAAGGAATAAAGCCTTCTTGACCACTGAGATTTGAAAGTGAAATCAATGAAAGTCTATCAAGTACTCAGGATAGATTTGGTTGGCATCAAAAACCACAAAGATCTTTGGGTTCCAGGTATCATCCACACAGCTGTCATATAAATTCACATAGCTCCCATCTTTGGAAGGAGGTCGCATGTATTTGGAGTCTCCATTTATGTAATCTCCAATTAGCACTCGAGCAAGAAACATAGATTTGTATGTTCTAAACAGATGCCGCTGTTGCAAGCTGACACCATGAATTTGGAATGTGTTTCCATGCTTTATGTCATCCTTGCAGAAACGACTGGAATAAGCAGCATCTCTAGCAAAATACGTTCCTTAAACAAAGAGGATCAAGAAAAGCCAAGATTACTCCTAAGAATATATTAAAAACAAGCAAAAAATTTTTTCAGGGGAATAGATGCATGGAATTGTATAATAAAAATAGATGTGGAATTTCCTCATCTGCAGATCTTTAAGAAAAGAATAGAAATCCATCTGTGGTGTAGACTGCCATAGAAATAGATTTGTTGATACAGAAAAGTCCTCACCACCACACCATCCCCTGCCCCCATCCACCAAAATATAGCTACCAGACTTCTGTTTTTAAAATAAATCTTACAAGGAATCCAATTAATAAAACAGATATTAAAAGTGTGGCTGAACCTGTGGGTTTTTTTTGTTTTTTTGCGATGGAGTCTGGCTATATCTCCAGGCTGGAGTGCAGTGGCGCGATCCCAGCTCACCGCAACTTGTTTTCCGTTTCAAACAATTCTGCCTCAGCCTCCCAAAGTGCTGAGATTACAGGCATGAGCCACTGCGACCGGCCTTTTTTGGGGGGTGGGACTACGGGCTGCACCACCATGTCTGGCCAAATTTTTATTTTTTATTTATTTATTTTTTTTGAGATGGAGTCTCGCTCGGTCACCTAGGCTGGAGTGCAGTGGCATGATCTCGGCTCACTGCAATCTCTGCCACCCGGGTTCACGTGATTCTCCTGCCTCAGCCTCCTGAGTAGCTGGGATTACAGGCGCATACCACCACACCTAATTTTTATATTTATTTAGTAGAGACAGGGTTTCACCACATTGGCCAGGCTGATCTTGAACTCCTGACCTCAGGTGATCTGCCTGCCTCGGCCTTCCAAAGTGCTGGGATTACAGGTGTGAGCCACCGCATCGGCTCTGAGTTTTACTGCCTGGCCCTCCCTCCCATTTCTACTTCCTTCCACCACTTCCTCACCCTGCTCCCTTGTCAGCATCCAGCAAAGCTCTAGAGAGCACAATGGAAACTGATGGCCTACAGAGATTCTTTTAAACCCCAAGAAACCATATTTCTATGATACGGGATAACATTCAGTAATATTTCTGGAAACAACAGAATCCCATAGCCATGAAAAGATTTCTGAGAGAATATATAATGCTATTCATATATGAGCATTCCAAAAAAACGATTTTACTGGCTCACTGCCTACACATGAAAATTCAATAAAGCAGCCAACTCTTCTGAAATAGTAAACACAAGAGATCAACTGACATCATTAAGGGCATACATACTCTAAAAAATTTTGGAGATGAATTTTTATTTACCTAACATTTATGGGAGTTATGTAACACCTTCTGACCTCCTTATAGTTAAGTGGAATGGTCTTTTTAGTAGTTATTTTTAAAATTAATTTACATTTTCAACATACTGATCCCAAATGGCAGGTAAGTTGCTGGAGGTAAGGTACAAAGGAAGGGCCAGAACAATAAATGTCTATTCCGCAGCTTTTCCCCTCGCCTCTCTCCTTGATTTGCTTGCGTAGCAGGCATAAATGGAAAAGCCTGGATTTTCACAACATTATAAATAACATACAGTTTCCCCCCACTATTCCTTATTGCTCAATAATATTCTTACCTATCATTTCCTTAAAAACAAAAACACTAGTACCTATTCTGGTGCATAATGAAATTATAATCAATTTGTTTTATCATTCTTTGTATTTTTGCCATAAAGCAGTTTAGTGTATAGGCTAATATATGGAAAGAACTTACACACAAAAATTAAACATAATGCAAAAAAATCAGCTAATATGAACATGATCCCCTTTTTGGATGACTGGGACTTGGGGAGCTATTAAACCTGTTAGAGACGTTAAGAGTCTTACTTCCATCTTGTAAATGTAAATGTAAGAAGTGACTTTTCAGTGACTCAGAAATTCTTAGGGAATGCCTGGAACCTAGCACAATAACTTTTAAGTTAATGACTGCCAAACTCCTAAATTATAAAAAAAAATCTCAAGAGAGGAAACTCTCTACTAGGACTAAAATTGGACCTGGAATTCTGATAATTACCTTTTCCAAAGACAGCACCATGTATACCATTTATTCTCCAATCGAAGTTATGAATACAGATTGCTTCCACAAATTCACTGCTGGTACCATGAAATAGCATTTGTTCATTAATGTGAGACACACCTCTTTTTTTCTTGAGCTGAGCCTTTTTCCTAAAAACACAATACACACAGACACAAAGGCACATAGAAATATACCATAAGTAGTATTTATTAATCTTAATGAGCAAGGTTCAATAGAAATGGTAAGACAGAAAATATTTTAATATAAATCATAAATGGACAAAGCAAGTATGGAAAAGAAATAATTTCAAATGTTCTTGGACACACAAATCATCTCATCAAAAATTATTAGTTAACATAAAACTTAAGGTTAAAAATTATGCCAAAAACTATAGTTATCCCATGCTATGCCCCCAACATCGTAAAGGTAATTGATCGTCTAAACCGGCTAAGCTTTACAGATGCCTAAAAATGAGACAACAAACAAGTAATACAAAGTTTGCAGAGACTTTAGACAGTGAATTCCTTGAGCAGGGACCATGTCATATGATTTTTATCCTCAGAAACTAGAAAATGTTGGTTGAATTGGCTAAATTTTGCACCATAGGGTTTGGGAGGGACATTAAGCCATCCAGTTTAATCCTCTTCCCAAGGACAAAACTATCCTAACACATAAAAGCATATTTAATGTAGGACTGATTGTAACAGAAAACAAAAACTGAAAACAGCCTAAAATTATTTCACAGAGAAATAAATATATAGTCATGTATTTATATATATAAAAGTTTAAAGTAATGAAGTAGATCTATGTGCACTAACACAGTAAATCTTGAAAAATAATATTGAATGTAAAAAGAATTTTGCAAAAAGAGACAGGGAACTCAAAATAATACTGTGTATTGTGTAGGTATACATACACAGGTAGTAAAAAATACAAAATACAAACAATAAGCATCATACCAATCTCAGGAGGAAAGGAGGAGAGTAGGAAAAGGATGGAGTAAACACTTCACCTGTATCTGTGTGAAGAGGAAGGAAATGTGACAAGTATTAAAATGTTAAATCTGATGGGTAGATACATGGGAGTCTGTAAACTATTTGCTGCATTTTCATTCTTGAAATATTTCATTAAAATAATATTTTAAAAATTGAGAAGAATATCCTCCCCCTGACATCTGATACCTATTTAATGTCTGCTTCAATCCATCCAGTGTCAAGTACTCGCAGCATCAGCTGCTCACTTTGCAAAACAGCACAATCTATTTGTAATTAGCTGTAATTGTTGGAAAGTACTTCCATCCCAATGCCAAACCAAAATCTGCCTTCCGTTGGTCTTAGTTATTCTCTTTTGAACACAAACAATTCAGATAACTCTTACACAAAACAACTCTGCAAATATCCAAAAATAACTATGAACACCTAGCTAGGCTTTCTTTTCTTGCTTAAATGCACACCATTCCTTCAACTACTCCTGACACAGCACAGCTTCTAGGTCTTTCTTTATCCCAACAGTCTTTAGTTAACAAGAATCTACTAGATACTTTCTAGTTTATAAATGTTGGTGTAAAATAGAAGCAGTTCAGATATCATGAGACAGCACTGACTCTACCGACACCACTGAATGCATTTTGGTAACACGGGCCGCAAACTGCCTCCATAATCAAGTGTGTAGTCAGTTAATCCTCCCAGGATGTTTTCAAACCAGACCTCTCTTAGCTTCCTATATTTGTACCACTGATTTATAAACTGAATGCAATAGATTTATTTCAGGTAAGCTTTACTTGGTATAGTAATTTAAAAAGTAAAAATTAAATAACAGTAAAATATCCACATCTCAGGCTGAGTTTTATAAACAACATGCAGCTTGATGAATATGTGCGGGAATGGATACTTGCATTTAAATGGTGACAGAATGAAAATGCATACAGTCTTTCTCAAGAGTCGTTTGGCAGTATATACCAAAATTAACATGTATATGCTTTGATCTATTTGTGACAGTCTTTTCAGGCCATTAAGTATGACATTAGAAGGATGTGCACTGAGCAAATGCTTATGCTACAAAAAGCAGACTTTCACTAAGAATTATACCAACTTCCTTTTTTAGAACTTTATGTTCTCACTTTTTTTTAAACAATGTACATTTGTTCCCTTTATAAAAACGAAAAAAAAAGTTTTTTAAATTTAAAAAAAAAAAGACAATACTTGTTTTGACCCACTGTTTCAACCTTCCAAGGTCTTTCTGACTGCTGATTCACTCACTCAACAAATAAGCTACCCCTTCTAGTTTGGAATCTTTCACAAGTGTGATAAGCAAGCCCTCTACATTTTCATCCAAGTTTCTGATAAAAATATTGACGGACCCAAGAAGAAGGCATGCATGCCATTCGAATTACTCTTTGCATAAGCCTTTTTCTACTAGTTTTTCTCTTTGAACTATCAACCAGCACATATTTCTCCATCTTGTCTTCATGAAAAGAAACTTTCTCAACCACTATAAAGTGAGAAGCCAAGCTAGACTGTCTAAGGGGCCTAACCATCTACCACTATGGTAATGCTATTAGTTGGTCTGGCATTAGTCAATCCACCCTGCTTTTCTCAAAGAAACATTAGTATAATACACAATGCCAGGCTTCATGCTCTGTAATGTCAAACTTGTCAATGTTGTGCTTCATGACCTGGAATGACTAGAATCCACTCAAAGGAAATTCTGTCTCTACTAAAAAACACAAAAATTAGCTGGGTGTGGTGGCACGTGCCTGTAATCTCAGTTACTTGGGAGGCTGAGGCAGGAGAATCACTTGAACCCGGGAAGTGGAGGTTGCAGTGAGCCAAGATCACATCACCGCACTCCAGCCTGGATGACAGAGTGAGACTCCCTCTCAAAAAAAAAAGAAAAAAAAAATTCACTTATCACTACTTTGCAGGCACAAATTAGAGTAAATCTCGGTTTGAAAATTGTCTGGAGTTTCTCTTAGATACTATAAATAAACTGTGGGTTAAAGGGCATGAAGTATGGGCATATGCAGGCATGGAAAACAATGCTTAGTTACTAGATTAGATGGTGCATATAAGCCAGCTGAAGGCAGAGCAGGAGCACGGTGGTTAAAGCTTTGTATCCCCACAGCGCAGTTTTTCTAGTGCCCACTACTACCACTACTAAGGCAGCTGCGAAATCTGGACATTCACAGATTATGACCTTGGTGTTCCAGAAATGCTAAAGATGAGTTCCAGGGCCTCGTGAACTTTAGTTACATCTGCAAGGAAAGTCACAGGACTACACTAAGTTCTTCACAACCCTGCCCAGCTTTGCCCAGACCCACAATCATTCCTGAGCTTACTGAAAGTACCATCACACCCACTTCTCAATGATGTCTCAAAATTTCCACCTCTTAGGGACTAGAGTGCCAGACTGGCTAAAGTGTGTATGTCACATGCTCTGTACTAGAGCAGGAATACTTCCATGCTCTGGACTGAAATAAGTTTGCCTAGATTCAGAACAGATTTTTATCCTGCTGAACAACAGAATCACTTACAGAATTTTTTAAGGTAAAAATGTAAGAACTCAGAGGTTCTGATGCAGTAGATCTGTGATAGATGTCAGGTATCTCCACCTGCTAGTAAGTTCCACTGGTGATTCTGACCTGCAACTAGGTTTGAAAATCTCTGATCTAAATTTACATTATTAACAAGATGCTCTGATTTCCTTGCTGCCTTATACTTCCAGCTATGGATCAATCCAACCATCTCCACTATCTGCTCTTACATTTGTACTGCTGAAGTACATCACACAACATCCCCATGGTTTGCATTCTAAATTCACCTACTCCAACTTTAGCTAAGCTCTCAATACTGACAGAAATCCCATGGTTCCCAAGATAGCTTGTTCTCCCCATTTTCCACAACGGCCATTTCAAATCTTCTCTTTCCCCTTTTCTTTCCCCCTTATCAACACCTCCCTAACACTTTATTCTCTGTAGGCAACCTCCCTTCTTCTTTCACAAAAGAAATGGAAGGCCTTAGGAAGGAACTCATTAACCTAACTCCTCTTCCCATCCCCTACCTCTACTTATCTGTAAACATAACTGGACCACCCTTCTGTATCCTTTCTGACATATGTTCTCAGAATTTCATCTCATAACACTTCTTCAGGAGCTGGAATCCATCAACTGCCCTTCCACTGTTTTTCTGATCTTATAAATTCTCCTTCTCCATAAGTCCTTCCCAATTACAATGTTAAATAACCCCACATTAACTGTCTTGGGCTCACATCTCTCATCCTCCTCACTGCCAAGTTTCTTGAAAAAGTTGTCAACATTTGCTGTATACACAATATGGTGTCTACCAACATTGCTTTTATCTAGGTTACCAATGACCTTCTTATTGCAAAATGCAAAGGAACTTTTCAAATCTATCCTACTTGACATCCTTTCAGTATGTAATCCTACAGACGGCACCTACTTGTGTAAACCACATTCTCCCTCCAGCTTCTGTGGCTTTACCTTCTATTGGTTTTCTCCCACTTTCTGTGGCTGTTAGTTTCCTCCCTGGGTTTTCTCTTCCTCTGTTCATCCCTTCCAGAATTGGCCCTTGGCCCTCTTCTTTTCTTAATGTACATACGCTCTCTGGTCATCTTCTTCATTCCTATAGTTTCTATTACCACACATTTTCTAACAACTCTAAAACCTTTGTCTCTAGTCTACACCACTCTTCTGAACTCCTAACTCATATGTCAACTGTTGTATATCAACTACTACTCCCTTTCCATCATCCCTACAGATGTTCCTACAGATATTCCCTTAGTCAAGTAAAACAAGCCAAAAACTTGGGAGTTATCCTTCTCATCTCCCTTAGTCACCCCATCACATACAGTAGGTGAGGAACCAAGCACTATCATTCTACAACCTTAATACCTCAAAACTGTCTCCAACACAGCAGATACCACTTTGGGTCAGGCAACCCAATGCGTCTCAGTCTAATTACTGAAACAATTTCCTAAATTTGTCTCTCTGCTTCAAACTGTGATCCCTTTAAAGTACTGAGATTTTGTGCTAGACATTTCTTTGTTGTGGAAGGCTTCTTTGTTGTGTTGTGCATTATAGGATGTTTAGCATCCCTGGCTTCTATCCAGTAGATGCCAGTAACACCCCTACCCTGTCACATAACAATCATTACCAAATGTCCCCCAGCAGGTAAAATCACTCCCAGTTGAGAACCACTGCTTTAAATACCTTCTCCATGGTACAGCCTAATTATTTTTCTAAAAAGCAAATCAGTTCCATCATTCTCTTGCTTAAAGTTCTACAATGGCTTTCTACTATCCCAGGAAAAAAAATCCAAACCTCTTAGTTTAGCTTATAAGGCCCCACATGGTCTGGACCCTGCTAACTCTCTGACTTCCACTCTGGTTCAATCCAGCTCAACTAAGGCTACTAAAGACAATTACACAACCACCCCAGTAGTGCTACTACAAACTCTTGCATGCTCTGCCTCTTGATACTATTCCAGCCTCCTCTCTCACCATTCTACCTAATTTCTGTTCAATCTGAAGTCATTTCAATTTTCTGTGCTACCTCTTATATCCAGACTTTGGCTTTTACTGCTCCTGATGCCTGAGATGCCCTTCTCCTATCCAACTGGTGTCCGGGGATCCCACATTCTCCCCACCCCACTCCACATCCCCTACTTTATTTGGCAAAGGTGGATGGATCCCCTCACTTTGTGCTCCTATGATGCCCTGTGGTGATCCCTACATTTCTGTGTTACAACGGTCTGGCTCCTTGTCTAAGCTACAGTTCTCTGTACCATTATTCCAAGTTCCCAGAACAGTGCTTGTCACAAAGTAGGTACTAAGACATTTTTGTAAGAAAAAGTGGGGGAAGTCAGAGAGACCTAGGCAATGTGAAAACTGATGCCAGATGGACTCATGTAGGACTGACTACCTATACGGTGAGTCATAGGTTATGTGACAGTGAGACAGACCCAAGTTATTTTAGTTCTTCAGGAAGATGTTAAAATGACAGGCTGCCCTTATAATGAGACTCCGTATTTTGTACTGTCATGGCAGGTGACAGGTTCATTTACCATCACAGATTTCTATAGGCTGACATTACATAAAACCATGAAGGGCATCACCAGAGTAAAACTTTTTCCAGTGAAATTCTTAGTATAAAATGTTCTCGGGAATCACTGGTACATTTTTACCACTATGATTTAATTGAGGACTCAAGTAATGAGGGAGATCAATTTGATCGCCACTTCAAAGGGCTGATGAAGAATAATGAATTAAGTTTTCATCAGACTAGTTTAGAAAACATACTTTATTCACTGAGAAAATAAAGTCAAAGGAGGCAGAGGCTTCTGTCTTCCTCTATAAAAGAATCATCTAAACAAGAACTAAATTCAACTTTTAAACTCAGTTAAACTCGGTTATTGTCAGAAATAAAAGCTGGTTTGGTCAATAGACCCAATACTATAAAGAACACAAGCTGAAAGCCCCTTATTTACCATAAACTATGAATAAACCTAGAATGTACACAGGCCATATTAACTAGTCAGTCAGAAGCATGAAAGAATTCCATGTATCATTACCAAACAAAAGTCAGCCCGATTCTTAAGTATATAGAAATGAAATGAGTTATGGTCTGGGTTTGCTTTAAAATACTCTAGCAACAGTAACAAAAAAGGAGACAGTTTATGGTGGCAAATCTTGACAGATGTTGAACCAGGATGATGGATACATGAGGCTAATTATATTAGACTCTACTTTGTGTTTATTTGCAATTTCTCTGAATAGAATGTTCAAAGTCAGCTTATATTTAAAAATATTAGAAATCAAATCTCATCTACAAATGTTAATTAAAAATATTTCAGAGAATCACTTATTTTAATTTTTTACAGGTCATAAAAATATGGCAGAACTGGCTAATTTGGATAATACTTTTAATACCTTAAGCTTTCTTTAATGGACTTTATTTTCAGTTAAGTGAATGATGAGTCACACAATAGGTCATTTCCAAATTAAATCTACTAGGGAATTGAGATTAACACTAAAAAATAAACTTTAGGCTAAGCAGGAAATTTGAAGTTACGTTTTAAAGTATTCTTTAAAATAAAACGGACAAAAGGCTATTGGCAAGAATGACTGTTCAAAACAAAACAAAACAGTGTTTGCGCGCAGACTTCTAATATAAGGCTAAGCCAAGTAAGTCATATCAACAAAGCTAAACAGCTCCCAGACTCCTCTGTAATGCTGATTTCAACCAAGATGCACAGCTCGAAATCTTGAAAGGAGGGAGCTTCTCACATTACAATGCTACAAGCAAAGTTACAGAGCAGCTATTTCACTCCCTGAGAATGCTGAACAAGAGCCCTGAGACTAGGTCAAAATATGGCAAGAGAAAAACAGCATGTCTATACCACTGAAAAGTAATACAATTCAATATTTATATTTTAGTCATAAAAGACTTAGCAGTAAGGAGAAGGTTCAGATTAGAAATCATCTCACCTGCAAAAGAACTCCCACAAATCTAGGTTTTGAATTCTCTGAATTCTTTTGATTCGGTTACGATCCATTGTTTTCCCAAAGAGATTGGCAACTTCATTATATTCATGTGTTTGATTGTGCAGAGTAATAAGCTGGAAAAATAAGTTTGCATAGCTTTATTGCAATCCTTTCCAGTTTCTTTCATGGTATATTTGGTCAGTTCTGCTCTTACCTGATACGGTACTTGAGTATTCACATTCTCCCAGTGTGGTGGCATAGGGATAGCCTCATTTTCACAGATATAACTTGAAATAGCAAAAGACAAAACAAAATATCAGAAGCTGATTATCATGATTGTCAAGAATTTGGCCTTTCTTCAAAGCTTAATTTTCATTTTCAGGGTATTGTGATAAATGCAATTAAATATAGCCTTTGGTTTCTTTATTTAAATATTATTGAATGTCTATGTCTGCTACTTTCTAGGTGCTAAATAGTGAACTTTTGATGGAAAATATCCAACCCTGTATATCATCCAAATTTCAAAAACAGTTGCTTAGTTCTATCTTGTTTTTTTGAAATTTCCAAAATTTCTTTAAAATGTAAAGAAGATTTTGGACAAAGAAATTAAAAATAAAGACACATTTCTGATGAAAACAAAAGGCTGAAACATGTTTATATTGCCTGTTGAATAAAATCAAAACTCCTCAACCATTTTTTCGATGTTCTCCAAGATCTAACTCAAACCTAAACCCTTCTCTGTTAATTGCCCTCTACTCTCTCCAACAGTCCACTAACTTTGAGGGTTATTAGCACAGTCAGTCAGCAAATCTTAAAAACTATCAAAACATGTTCAAGGCATTGGATGTGAATACAGAAAAACACAGTGACATTGCGGGATTTAATAGCAAAAGGCTGAAAAGGACACACCAATCCTCTCCAATGACTACAGCTTACTAAAGAAATTAATAAATTTCAAACCGATCTTCAGTTTACTTTTTTCAATTTATTTTAATGAAAAAATCAAATATGTTATTTAAAAATTAATATGTATAAAGAAATACACAGTGAGTTTTCCTCCCACTCCAGTCCCCAGCCTCACTTTTTGCCTCAACTCCTGGTAATTATTATTTTAGTCTCTTGGGTATTCTTCCAGAGCTTCTTTAGGTTAATACAAGCCAAGCTTTTTCCTCACACAAATGGTAGCATAAAGCATACATTTATTGCACCTGTTTTTTTGGGGTTTTTTTGCTTCATAGACTCTTAGAGATCTTTCTGTAATAGTACCTAGCTTTTTTCTGTATTCACATCCAGTGGCTTGAAGATGTTTGATAGTTTTTAAGATTCACTGATTGACTGTGCTAATAACCCTTGAAGTTAGTGAGCTGTTGGAGAGAATAGTGGGCAATTAACAGAGAAAAGTTCAGGTTTCAGTTATATCTTGGAGAACACTGAATGAATGGTTGAGGAGTTTTGATTTTATTTAATACACAATATTCAATAGGCATTATTCCTAGTGCTTACAACAGAGCCTGGCATACAGTATACACTCAATAAGTACTGAATGAGTGAATGCCTTCTATTTTACAGATGCACAGAATTCCACTGTATGGATATGCCATAATTTATTTAATTAGTCCCCTAATGATATTTAGCTTGTCTCCAACTTTTTGCTATTGTATTAAGAATGCTGGCCGGGCACAGTGACTCATGCCTGTAAACCCAACACTTTGGGAGGCTGAGGCAGGTGGATTACCTGAGCTCAGGAATTCAAGACCAGCCTAGGCAACACAGTAAAACGCTGTCTCTACGGAAATACAAAATATTAGCCAGGCATTGCAGCGTGCATCTGTAATCCTAACTACTTTGGAGGCTGAGACAGGAGACTCGCTTGAACCCAGGAGGCAGAGGTTTCAGTGAGCCGAGGTGGTGCCACTGCACTGCAGCCTGGGCGACAGAGTGAGACTCCATCTCAAAAACAAAAAAAGAATGTTGGAAAAACATATTTGTTCATCTGTCATGTTCTATGTCCACTTATGTGTAAAATAACATATTTCAAATAGAATTTCTGAGTCAAAGAATATATTTTTTCATGATTTTAAGATACCAACCAATTGGCTGTCTTTGAACGTGCCTACTGACATCTGCACCAGAAATACAGAAAACGCCTATCTTCCCACAATCACTCCAAAAAGGTATGTTATCAAACTTTTGAATTTTAGTCACTCTGATAGTAAAAATCAGTCTGGTATTAATTTGTTTTTCTCTGATTATGAGTGAGGTTGTATGAACTGTTCAAATTATTTGCCCATGTTGATTTTCTATTTAGAGTCCTAAAGGTGCTTCATGTAATATGAAGAATAGCCCTTCAACTATAACAATTAATTAAAATATTTTCCCAATTTTTTGTGAGGGGAAAAAAAATATCTAAAACATACTTGGCCTAAAGTATCTTTTAGCTATGACCAAATTTTTTTTTTTTTTTTTTTTAGTTTTTATGCAGCCAACAGCCTTAAATAACTCTTTGCCAATAGGAAGCATGTATTGTTTACCTTGCATGTAATAAATGCTCACTGTATTCCCACAGTAAATAAGTATTTCTATATCAGCACCTATTGACTGACCTTCAACACCCTATTGTATCTTACCTAAACAGTCCTCTCCTTTTATTATTATCTTGTTTATAGCCTTCCATTCTGCTTAATCCTCGCCTTGTCCTGTCTTTGTTCTATGGTTTGTACAGTCTGTGACAGAACAAAGTGTTTGATCCCATCATGTGCTTTTTGCCTCCACCAAAGCATAGCAGATATAATGTACAATTACAATAACATCTTCCATTATTATGTCTCATTTTTCATTCTTTCTCCCAGATTAAATACTTTCTGAAGATAAGTAATTCTTTTATTATATTCTTTGTACTAAAGAATGTGAATATGATGCAGCTAATAAAAAAGTACTATTCTCTATATTCCATAGAAGTACTATTCATTCACTATATAAGTACTTGGAATAACTTTTAAATCATGATGCTAAAATAAAACCAAAATAAATGCTAAAATAAAACCAAAAGTCTTAAGAAACAAACTGAAGAAACTTAAAATATTTCTTTTCTTTAGTCCTTTCAAAAATCTCCTTGGAAGTAGCCAACAGGCATTCTCTGCAATTCACGTGCTACCTTTTTTTTTTTTTTTTCAGTTTCATTTTAACTTATTTGAACAAAAAGAATTTCAATACTTGCTTGAGGAATAATTGTAGAAAATAGGAGATATGCTTTAAGATTTTTTCCTTCAAGTCCATTCACATGAATAATGAATATTTATTGTCTTCTAACATTTATACCTCCTTTTTCAGACTACTTATGGCCAGAGCAAGCAAAAAAGAAAATTTGTAACCAATTTCCAGGAAACAGAAAGCAGTACTGTTGGCCATTGTTCCACCATCTTCCTTAGGTCTCCTTTAGTCTCTACAAATTTGAAATTACTTCTAGGAGTTGACCAATGGAGATCAATGGGGGTGGAAACAAAGTGGACAATACCTAGGACTTATTGCCTCAATAATTGTATGGCTCTGAGAGAGTATTTCCAAGTTAACAATTCAAACTTATCTCAGTGAGTTATTTTATGAATTTAGAGTAGAGGCCATGCATTTTGTAACTATCATGCGAAGTGTTCTAAAAAATTAAAAAAATATACAAGAAGAAAAGAAAAGGATAACAGGAAAGGAAGCACTTAGAGAAAATAATAATGTTGCTGTTTTGTCAACAAATGAGTTTTAATATTTAAAAGATCAGTATTATTAAATGACCTACCAAAACACTTTCAGTCTATTTCTTTTTCTGTCCAACAGTAAGAAAGAGAAACCCCACTCTTTCTACACCTATTCTCTTTACCATACCTGAAAGCACTGATAGAAAAGGGGGCTCTTTTTATTAAGCGCTGCTTTCCAGTGGTGAGATTCATTTGCTTCATTTCTGTATACAAAGACAAGATACTAGATAAGTCATAAAAACACACTGTGCTATAAAGTGTCATGAAGATTAGTAGCCACGCTATGTGATGATCAGGAATCATGATGCTTTGGGAGTAGCTGGCAAGCATAGTATATTATGAATACTTAACCATACAGCTATGTATCATGTTGTGAAGGTGCTATTCAAGGAGGCACAGCTTCATTGCTTGATCTAAGCACACATAAAAAGATGCTAATTTCATCCAATGCTCAGTATGCATAGTCTATTCCGTTTCTGTATCACACTTAGGTTAAACAAACACTAAAATAGGAGAGTTCTAAACTTAGGAAAGCTAAGAGTACTAGAAAGAGAGAAATTACAGTATTAAATGTAGTTGGCTTATTAAGTAGGAAAATGTACTTTCATGTCTCCAAAAATTTTGGAAATGATAAAATTTTCACCATTATAAAACTTGCACAACTCACAGAATTTCAAAAAACTTCTACATTTCTTGATTTGTCTCCTAAACTGAAAAAACTGAAAACCTGGCTAGGCCCAGTACTAGAACTTACTTATATAAAAATATTCTAGTGATAAGAGACTAATCACTTAAAGCTATCATGTTCTTCTTTCACCCATGCCTCAGTCATGGCAATATTTACCAGGTCCATTTCTTCATTCTCCAAAGTTAAGTAGTGATTCTTAATGTAAGATTCTAATCAGTTTATCTTCATCTAATTGACGTCATTCCATTTCAGAGTGAATAGGTTTACCCATCCAGGCCAATGCTAGTATAAAGCATGTTCTGTCCTTTCTGTGTTCTCCTAAACTCTACACATACTGGATTTACCACTGTTCAGGGAAAAAGCAAGATCACCTCAGCATATGGAGCAAGACCTGTGATGCCATCTCCTTGGACCATCTCATTCTGAGTTTACTTTTTACCATTTTTATAGAGAGAATCTGAGTTAGCTAGCGGCAGAATGGCTGCAGCTTATAACTGCAAAGAGTACATGGGAAATGCTAATACCTACATCTTTAAAACAGGATCATTACACAGAGGGTTGGGGAACTCAAGTTATTAGTATATGTAACTTCTATTCCTCAATAACAATATTTTTAATAAGCTCTATTTTCTGAGAGCAAGTTTCCAAAAAGTGTAGTCTACTAAAAGATACCTTTCAGAAACATGTGGCTTGCTGAATTATTCACCAAATCCTTTGATACATTTCACCCTCTACATGAGGCCTGGTATCTGTGCATATCACTCTGTTTCAATTCTGCCTCAAAAACAACACTTGTACACATGGCTAAAAATGCCTACCAGACACCTTCTGCCTAGACTGCAGCAAAGGGACAAATGTCAGGGCCTCTTAAATCTTGCTTTAAAAGCTATGGGTTTGTTTGTTTGTTTTTGAGACAGAGTCTCGCTCTGTCACCAGGCTGGAATATGGTGGTACGATCTCAGCTCACTGCAACCTCTGCCTCTTGGGTTCAGGCGATTCTCCTGCCTTAGCCTCCCAAGTAGCTGGGACTACAGGCACATGCCACCACACCCAGCTAAGTTTTGTATTTTTAGTAAAGATGCGGTTTCACCATGTTAGCCAGGATGGTCTCGATCTCTTCACCTTGTGATCTGCCTGCTTGGCCTCCCAAAGTGCTGGGATTATAGGTGTGAGCCACCGCACTCGGCCCTAATGGTTTTTAACTCTTGATAATTAAAAAAAAAAAAGCAAGAAAAACAACTTTGGTGGGATAATAATTATTACATATTTGGTTGCATCAACCCCTTACTGGACAAATCTCCTTCACTGTTTCTGGGCCTTGGTTCACCCAACGGAATTTTGTAACGTTTCACCATACTACCCAGCCATAATACACTACCAACACTGTCATAAACACACTACTCACAGGAACTAGGAAAGAGCAGCTAAAGGATTAAGCTGTGTAGCAACCAAAATGCACTTTTACTAAGAAAGCCTCCCATTTAGGTCTTGTTTGCCTCTAAGCAATAAATAGCTGAAACCAACAACTTGAAACTTGAGGAGCTCGGTTCATCAGGTTTTTCATTGGATACCCCAAAACATGTCCATATATATCACAGATGAAATCCAAAGTGGGCTGACTTCCAGATTATCTGGCTAATCTGTGAGAGAGCCAAATAAATCAGAAAATGGCAGAAGGCAATGTCTATTAAAGAAATCATTTTCTGGCAAAGACACCAAGAGAAAGGCCATTCAGCTAAAACTTGTTCTTGAAACTATTGCCAGCTACCTATGACTTTCTCACTTAACATCTCAATTTGATCATTAAAGTAAAAAGGTTCTTACCTATTTCAAAAGACTGCTGGGACATTGAATAAAACAACTGATACAGTGTTTTGCATTCCTTAGAAGGCAAGCATCAAATGCACTTAAAATATATGACAATCTTCACATACATTAATATATATAAACATATAAACACACCTTTTATAAAAGGTAATGTTGCTCAAGATCTTAAAACTTGGAAGTTTTATAGAGGTATTTTTGTATGTAACAAAAAAGACATACTTCACTGTTTGCAAATATATCAACTAATCCTGACCTTCAGAGGTGAAGATTTTATCATATCAGTATACTAAAAACACACAACTATTAGGGAAAAAAACATACCTGCAAAGTCTATCTTGTAGCTGAATTTGGAAGTAGTAAAAGAAATGGAGCCACAAGGGTTTGCTTTGAAGCTTTTTTCGATATCTTCACTGCTAACTGAACACTGACTGTTGGTATCCGGCTTTAAGACAAACCAGAAAGTTTCATTTACCAGCTGTTCACATTAATGACTTTCCCACAGAGGTGGTACTGTGGTCATAGAGACAGGGAATGGAGAGACAAGGGAAATTTACTAATCACCTGTTCTAGTTCCCAACACACAGGGAGGATCACAAGTAAGCCAGCATACTGAAAATGATTTAAGGATCTCCAGTGAAGAAACAACTGGTTATAGTTCCGTTCAATAACTGGATATAGTCTTTTCCAGATAATTACAATTTTTACAGAGTATTCCAATAATTATACTTTCTAAGTGGCTCAAATTAAATCTTTATGTATAGTTTAGTAGAGTTAAAAAAAGACTACAGGTTTTGAGTACGGATTCAAATCTCAGTTTAACTAGCTGTGTGACCCTTGACAAATTATGTCAACTTTCTTTTCTGAGTTTTACTTTCCTTGACTGTAAGACAGAATATTAACATCTGCTTCCAAGTTATTGTGAGGATAAGGGGGAAAATAAATGCACAACACCTAACATAATACCTGGCATACAGGAGTGTTTAATATGGATTTGTTCTTCCCTTTCTCTTTGTTCACCAAATCAAACTTGGAGTTGCTCAGATGTACTGACACTATGCAACTCTCTGTCACATTCACCCTCTGTACAACAGTAAACACATACTGTTTCTTCTAAATACATGATTGTGAAAACCTGGGAAAAAGAAAAGGAAAAGGACTAGAAGAATTTCTAACTTTTCTTTTAGTTAAACGATTTGATTTCCTTAAGGTTTGACTTCAAGTTCTATATTTATACTCATTTTACATATATCAGCAAGGTGATGCTAAGTGAATCAGAAACACTTCTGCTAAATTCAAAGAAAGGAGATACCTGAAACATGTGCCACTTCCCACATTCTGCCAAGTAAAACCAGCCCCACTGGGTATCTGACGTGTCCATGTCATCCACTTCATTGTTTGTTGTTTTAGATAAGAATTCTTCTGCTTGGTGAAACATCTCCTGAAAAGCCAGAAAGAGGTGAAGGAAAACAAATAATTCTATTAATAACAAGTATACTTTTTACAGATCATTTTACTTCTTTACAAAGAGTGGTATTCAAGTGTCTTTCCATCCGTGACACTTTAAAAACAGCTTTCTGTCTTGCATATTGGCTCTGAAGGTAAACATTTAAAATGTTGAACATCATTGCTTAACAATTTAGGCAAATAATAATAATCTTAGGTAGAATATGTCAATATCTATTCAATCATTCAAATAAGCTATGTCAACATCAATAAGCACTTCAGGTTTTAAGCACAGCCCTAAGCAATTTCAATTTTATCTTATGTTCATGTATTTGGTCAAAAGGATCCATGCCATCACACTAGTTAAGACCAAATGCATGGAATTTTAATTTTAAACAGTCATTATTTCATTCAATGGCATAGAAAGATTTTTTTTTTTCTTTCTTGAGATGGTGTCTCACTCTGTTGCCCAGGCTGGAGTGCAGTGGCGGGATCTCGGCTCATTGCAACCTCCACCTCCCAGGTTCAAGCAATTCTCCTGCCTCAGCCTCCCCAGTAGCTGAAACTACAGGTGCATACCACCACACTCGGCTAATTTTTTGTATTTTTAGTAGAGATGGGGTTTCACCGTATTACCCAGGATGATCTTGGATGGTCTCGATCTCCTGACCTTGTGATCTGCCCGCCTCAGCATCCCAAAGTGCTGGAATTACAGACATGAGCCACCGCACCCGGCCAAAAAGATATTTATATGGTGTTGAGTGTAAAAGATTACAAAAAATAGAAACAGCATAATCCAATTTTAATAAAAATATACTTAGCACTGTGAATGTATGTGTGTGTCTGTGTAAGTGTGTGTATGTAAATGTTTACACACATACATGGAAAAAAGTCTGGATATATATAATAATTTACCATCATTTTTTCTAAGTGTCAGGATAAAATAATAATAGTAACCTTTATATGACTTACTACGTGCCAACTACTGTTCTAAGTACTATACAGATGTTAACTCATTTAGGTCTCACAACAACCTAGAGATAGGTACTACCAGTAACACAAATTTATAAATGAGGAAAGGAAGGCATAGAGAGGTCATATGAAGAGGAAGTCAAGATGTAAACCCAGACATCCTAGTTTCAGGATCTATGCACTTAGCCACCATCATATACCATCTTACACTTCACTGTCAATGAGTCCATAATTTTAACTATACCAATTAACACAAGTATGCGTTATCTTTGAAAAGTTTTAAACATTCTTGGTTGGGTATTGTAATGAAGAAATTCTCTAGAGGGGAGACAAAGAGGCTGGTCAAAGAAAATTAAACTCAATCTGGAATTTGACTTCCTGTCCTCATTCTTTAAGGGTTTTAAAATTATTAACTTTATACAACTACTACATAAAAATATTCTCCTTGCAAAAAATCAGAACATTCAAAATAAAGCTAAAGACTTTTTTAACCATCACTTCCATTCCTGGTACCTCTCACCTTTCTTCTCCAGGGTTAACCAATGCTATCATTTCACTGCATATCTTTCAGTTCTCTTTCTCTCTCTCACTCTTTGTTTGCATGTGTATAATTATACACATATAAAAACATAGAGAGTTATTGATGATTTGTTACAAATTTGATTTCCTGTATCATTGATTTCTTTTTTAACAAAGAATATGTGCTACTGGGTAATTTAGAAAATATTTGCCTTTTAATTTCATCATTTAAAATGTCCATTCTATTTTTAGAAGCTGTAGTAACCTGGAATAAGTTTCTATTACCTTGTCTAGGCCACAGTTGGCTCATCACAAAATGAAAAATGACAGACTCCTTCCTCATTAGGTTATTGTTATAAATGAATGAGACAATGCAGTAAAGTACCAAGTACAGTGCCTGAGCTCAATGAAGGGTTTTTTTTGTTGTTGTTGTTGTTGTTTTTTTGAGACAGAGTCTCATTCTGTCACCAGGCTAGAGTGCAGTGGCATGATCTTGGCTCACTGCAAACTCCAACTCCCAGGTTCAAGCAATTCTCCTGCTCAGCGTCCCTCGTAGCTGGGACTAAAGGTGTGCACCACCACGTTCAGCTAATTGTTTTGTATTTTTAGTAGAGACAGGGTTTCACCATGTTGGCCAGGGTGGTCCTGATCTCTTGACCTCGTGATCTGCCTGCCTCGGCCTCCCAAAATGCTGGGATTACAGGCGTGAGCCACCGACCCTGGCCGGGTTTGTTATTTTTTATGTATGTTTGGAAATTCAAGCAATGCTTTATGATTATTTCCCATTTTTTCCTTCATGTTTTAAATTTGACTAGTTTCTAAGAAATGAAAAATAGAATACCCCAGGATCAAAGGCTTCTGGTTTAGGACCCACTATTTACCTTATATATTTTAACCACATAATAAAGACAATGATTGAAATTTTAAGATCAACTGTCCAGTAACCTATTCACAATTCCTGCTGCTTCCTTCTATTAATGTTCATTTCATTTGGCCATTTAACTGTGAGAAAGACAGAAAGAAAGTAAATGCGACCTAAATTTAGTTTTTCTTCTGAAAATAACCAGAAAATTTGGAAGAATGAGATCGGAGCTAATAGTTAAGAAAAATATTTGTCTTATGAGTTCTACCTTTTCTCTATTAGAAAAGAGAATGGAAAATAGAAAAATTCCCTTTATACAGCATACATGTAACATGTGTGCTCTGCTATAAAACACCTTCCCTAAGACTTTGCTTTAGGCCAGGTTATAAATGAAAGCGTTTCAGCAACATCTTCTCAGACCTTTCTGTTACAAATAGCTTTCAGTGGGACCTAGGACAGACCCATCTTATATTTGTCACAGTTTTAGAGAGGACAGCACTATAGACAGATATCATTGTACTGAACATTCCTGAAGGATTTCAAATCTTATAAAATTCCTTATCAATTTACACTATTTTTTCCCTCCACAACTTAATGTGCAGAAGAGATAAATGATTCTTTTCCAATTAAAGTCAGGAAGAAAAACAAAGCAGAGAATAATACAATTTTTTTGCCTAGAATCATAGCCAGCAGTAGTACAGAGAAGATCAAAGAAACACCCAAGGCCTCCTGAGCATCAGTTCTTCCCGAAGTTACCAAGCCCCACTGCCTAATTTTCACACAAGGACAGTTATTTCTCCTCTCCTATGTTGTTAACATTTAATTTAATTGCTCTGCTTCACTGATGCTCTGGCTTTCTTTGAAAAGATGGATTTTATAAGATTAAACATTACAATTTTCTACAGTAGGTTTTCTCTCCAAAGAAATGGCCATTTTGCATAATTACACTCAAAGAGTTAAGTCAAATTTAAATTAATACTTTAAAATATTGCAACCCTAGTAATAATGGCTCTAGGCTAGGACACATTTATAGATAATAAAAAGAATATGCACTAGTTATCTGTCATGAAGTACTGTTAGATAAATGAACTTGTTCAGTCACAATGACATATTCTGTCTGATTTTCCTGTTTATAATTGGAAGCAAGTAGGGAAGGAAAAAAAATCTAGTACAAAGTGGCAAAGCATTCTGTAAAGTTTCAAGGCCAATGGATACGCTGATAGAGCCTGTCTGTAATGTTATCTGTTACAAAGAGAATCTTTATTTACAGAGCCTGGGAATAGTCAGTCTGGATCAACAAATTGAAAAGCTGTGCAGAAAATGAGTTTAAAGTCAAAATCCTGGTCTATATGAGGAAAATAATGCTGCCTTCCAGACTGGTTTCAAGTTTTCTGATATAAATTTTAGACTACAACACAGTATAATTTATTTTGTTAGCATGAGTAGAATATCTTGACGAAATCATATTTGGTAATAAAAACTTCCTTGCCTCTATATATAAAGAAGATCCCAAACCTGATCTTAAAAGCTTAAAAATGAACAAGAACTTCCAGAATGACAGAAGGAGCTCAGTGGAACCGGCGAAATCACATTTTAAAAACCAGTAAGCTGGGCATGGTGGCTCACACCTGTAATCCCAGGGCTTTGTGAGGCTGAGAAAGGAGGACTACATGAGGCCAGGAGTTTGAGGCAAGCCTAGACAACATAGTGAGACTCCATCTCTACAAAATAATAAAATAAAAAGTACTCAGGTATGCTAATGCGTGCTTGTAGTCCTAGCCACTTGAGAGGCAGAGATGGAAAGACTACTAGAGCCTAGGAGTTTGAAGCTGCAGTAAGCTAAGATCATACCACTGCACTCCAGCTTGGGCAACAGACCAGGACCCTGTCTCACAAAAATCAATTAATTAATTAAAAATTAAAAACTGCTGAAAATTGTTTTTTAAAAAACAAACGTTTAAAGTCTCTGGAAAGTGTGGTGAGGGCATACAGAAAGTGGAGAAACATTCATTCAAGAAAATTTACTAAATCTTAGAACAAGTTAGAGTCTGTGGCATTTGAGTTACAAAGTGCACCATTCCCCACATCCTACCAGGTCTCTGTTACGTGGTACATGTAGCCAAAAGACAGGCAGAGGACTCCCTCTCCCTCAGGCTCCAGACTGTGGCTAGTTTTACCCTGGGAGGGCCAAGCTGCTGGTGTTTCTCCTCTCCTTTAGCCCAGAGATGTAGAAGTTCTGTTCTAGAGAGGTGATAGAGAGGACCAGTCTCTCTTCCCCTATCCAGCCCCCATTCAAAAGGTGGAAGTTCTATTCCATGTGCAGCAGGCTGAGAATATTGGCCCTAACTGCCACCACCCCAACCTGCTCCCAGAGTAGAGGTTTTGTGCCAGGAACAGCCAGCTAAGATGACCAAGGACTGCTACCACAACCCCAGTGCCCACTCTAAGAATAGAGTGTTAGTTACTCTGGGAAAACAAGGCTCTCACCTTCAGCTCCAGATGCAGTGGCATGAAGATTTTGCTCAAGGGGAAAGACAGGATGTCAGGACAAAGAGCTCTACATTTCCACCTGAGAGGACTGACTTTATTTGGAACAGAGAGGAGGACCCCATGCCTGAGGGCACTGTTGAAAACTGTGGGCC